TTATTTTATTTTTTTATTTATTTTATTCAGTATAAAACCAACAGCGATGAAAACTGCCACTAACGGGTTCAACTAAAACAAATATAATATATTATAAACTTCAAAACTGAAACAAACTAAAATACACTAAAACTGTGTTTTAAACACAGACATTATTGAAAATGGGAAAGTGCAACCTGAATTGAAGCATACAAGTCCAGAAATATATTACAATACAAGAGTGTGTTTATGGTAATTAAAATCTATCAGAAATACAATATCATAATTAATACTGTATACAGTACAAGAAGAGCACTACAAATATGACATGTATTTACACAAGCGTTCACCACTACAGGACCGGACTTCTTTGGGTGAAACACAATTTTATCATGAAATACTTTTTTTATAATTATAGCTGTTTCATTACAAAGTTTTTTTTTTTTTAAATTTATTTTGAAAGGCCTGATGATGCTTTTGGCAATCAATGAAAATTACTGAATGCTTCAAATTGATCAAACATGTGGAGGGCTGCCAACGATTAGTTTTCGAAAAAGAGCTGTGTTGATAGTTTTCTTTTTCCCACGATATGCAGAGGCCCACTGTCATTGCATTATACTGTGTTGAGTGATGTGCAAGGACTCTTACAGTACGCCCACTGTACAATTCGCTTTATTTTTCAGAAAGATCGACACCAATGGAATTAACACAGACAAGATACATGAGACTTGATTTCATTAATCTGTGATGATAATGTATAAGAGTATTTGTTCAAAAACATTCAATGATTCCAATTATTACGGTTCCTCTTGCTTGACTTGTTTAATGTTTGTGAATGACCTATATTTCTTAACCCCTTTTCCAATATTTCAATTGCTTACCTTGTATTATTTACATTATTATTAATTAATTTTCAATTAAAGATGAGAAAACTCACCAATTATGAGATGCAAGTTAAATTCATATTCATATATTGTCAATGTTAGTGACGGACTGACCTATTTTTCTTAACCTCCTTTTCAATTTTGTAATTGCTTACCTTCCTATATTTATATTATTACTAATTAATTTTTAATTAAAAATGAGAAAACTTACCAATTATCAGATGAATTTAAAATAATAATACTACAATATATTTAAAATAAATACCCTAATATGTTCTTTTTAAATCGCCTGCAAATTATTGAAAACAAACAGACAACCATACCCCACCCTAAATAACATAAGATGGAGGAAATGTTTTAACTACTCACACACACATACCAGACGTCCTAAGTCTTCTGGGATTCGGGAAAGCCTCACACCAGAGGTGGCGCCAGCGGGGCAGGGGGAATCTGCCCACCCGTCGGACAGGCCTGGACCCCTGTCATGCGACAAAGGACTAAGTTGTCGGACCAAAAGTTAAAAAAAAAAAAAAATAACTTGCCAATCCAAATAACACTATTTTGATTGCCAATCCCTAATATTGTGGTCTAAAAGCAAATTTAGGATCAAATTAAGTCATAAAACTCTCCCCCATGAACAGGGATTTTTTTTATTCCCGGCTGTCAACCGAAGCTTCTTCGTCGCCTTGGTTTGGACCCTTCCATCGGACACGCCAAACCCCTTGTCGGCAAATTTCTGGTGCGACGAGCATGCAAAGATCTCCCATACTGCAAACTAAACTATACGACCAAGACTTAAAGTTCTTGAACTTATACTGGTCGCTTAATTTCCACACAACACTGTAAACTATATTAAACAAAATAAACAAACAAACAAAACATACAAACTATCGCCTAACAATTCATGTTACATTATTAGTTTTTATTATTACTGTACAGTATTATTAATTGTATGCCCATGGGTATCACCACAAACATCAAAACACAATTAGTTAGATGTGTTTTAAGGAAGCTCATTTAACAAGATCTTCTTCCAACTTAGGACCCCTGGACACATACCCAACACTTATTCATATGACTCATCCTTACGCCTCACTGATGAGATAAACCATCACACAACAACAGCATTCCAATAAGATTGGATTCCCATTAGTGCTCATCTTACTGATTTAGCACCTCCAGAATCTGCAACTAAATAAAGCTAATGGACACCAGACTTGGAATTGTTGGAAAACAGTTTTGACTTTGAAAACCTTTATCCTTCCTTCTCATAGTCACATAACTGGTGCAATATTTGTAATATGTAGTGTTAAGGTTGATTTTGTTGTCTTTTCAGAAATTCCTTAAAGATGCATTGTCCCTTGCTAATGTCAAAAAATCATAAAAAATAAGTTTGAAATAAACTTGCTCATTTTGAAATAATATAACAAATCAATAACCTGTGCATAGAAAATATTGAATTTTAAAAATGTGTACACTGATTTTTAAACCCACAAATTATAATAAAAATAATAAAACATTTCCAGTGACTAGAAGTGTTTCTATCATTTTTTTTTTTTTTGCAGTAAACTGATGGATAGATATTTTTTTTAAACAATAATTTCTATGTTCAAGTTGATAACTTTTATGTTACTCCAAAATGGGCAAGTTTATTTCAAAAAATATTTTTTTGATTTTTTTTATAATTAGCATGAGACAATATATCTTTAAGAAGTCTCAGAAATTTAGCAATGAAATTCATAGGAATTAGTTATGGCACATACAATCAACAAGTAACAAATAATTATTATCCGCGCTTGTTAATTGAAAATTTAATGAAAATACATAATTATACAATTCCATAATCTTTATCTCATACAGTATCTTTAAAATTTTGGTAGCATTTTTTAGGAAAATATCTGTCAATCATTAATTAATTAATTAATTTTTTTTTTATTCATTCAGTGACTTATCGAATGTTGATTAAAATTATCATTTAATTTCTGAGTTTCTTCTTGCTCGAAAGGTCCAATTTTCCATAATTTTAATCCCAATTGGAAAATTGTCAGGAAATAAAGTTAAGAAAGTCTCCTGGAATTTGTGTAGGATATGGATGCACATGATCAAGTAATGAGACGGATGACATGTTGTTGGTGTTGCTTCTCTACAGGTCAACTTGGTGATCAGTTTAGACTCAGCTGGACACACCTCTAGGCGGACAGAATTCCAATTATGAGGACTCTACCCTGCCAAGTATCACTAAAGGGACCTACTCTAACTTTCATAATACCAACTGAAAACCAGTATGCACTGATATTCCTGCTGGTGAAAGCATATAGCACAGACAACCTGCTGTTAGAAGGCTAAGGTGAAGGAGAAAGAGAGAGTACTTGAGTTGTTGAAGATAATGAGTTGATGATGAAGGCATGTGGTTTTAATGGACATATTTATGCTGTTGCAAGTTCATTGTCAGTACATAAAAATTGTAACATTACATATTAGAAAAAAAGATTATACAGATTTGTAAAATTCCTAAATATGGTCAAAGGATCCTGGGTTTAGGTTTAAAAAAATTACATTTTTTTTTAATTTTTTTTATAAGAACACTGAGGCTGAAATTGCTTAAAAAATTAAGAACAAAATAAGAACAAATTGTGGCTGAGGTAGAATGTCAAACTAGAAAAACTAAAAAAATTATATCTGTTCCTTACGTTCAGTACTGTAGTGTGACTTTGTAATATTCTCCATATACAGTACAGTACAGGTAGGTGTTCCTACCTCCCATTTGGGGCCAGTTTTTAACCGGGGCCTTTTTGTGGGGCCATTTTTTGCTGGGCCTTTCTTTCAGGGGCCATTTTTTGCAGAGCCGATTCACCTCCCAGTACAGCGTGAGCTGCTCTACAATAATAATTTTCTATGTTTGAAAAGTGTGTAAAATAAGAACAAAATAAGAACATTTTGAGCTTGAAATTGGCCAAAAAATAAGAACACTGAGCCAGGGCGAAAATTTACTGGTTCTTATAAAAAAAAAAAAACGTGTAATTCAATAGTTTCACATCTGAGATTTGATATATTTTAGTGAGAGTATTTACTATTGGCTATTTACTCCTATACTAGTAGTAAACAGGCTGGTAAATAATAAAAATTGCGGTTTTTTTTTATTGTAAGAATTAAAAATGAATCTTATATATTCCTGCCATTATGTTTCCACGTCTTTTGCTGCGACAACAATCTTTCAGATCATTATTATTTTCATTTTCCATGGAAAAATGATTTTTTTTTTAATAGCAAACAGTAAATATTTTTCATAAGGTTTCAAAATTTGATGAGGGTTGGGATTTGAAACTAGCAATTAAATTCATTTGGTCTTATCAAATATTAATTATCAATAGAGCAAGTTTTTACCAATTTATTATATCTGCCTTAAAATAAAAAAATAAAAAAACTCATGGACATGTAAACCATGACATTAAACCATCCCCATCATAATATACTGTAGTTACTTATTCAGATATTAATGCACAGTGTTGTGTATTGATCAGGGTGTAATAATTATTTTCAAAGGAAGTATTTATTCTAGTGTTTTTTTTTTCTTTCTTTCTTTCTTTTTTTTTTTTTTAGTGCACAACACACAATTTTCATCAACAAGTAATCATCAGGTACTAAAAGATTTGAGTTCAAGTTTAGAAGGCACACACAAAAATTTAAAAATAAGTTAGTGTATCGGCCTACTCTTTACTTAATCTTGCGACTTATCAAGAAAAGAAACTGAATGGTAATCAGAATGTCGTTGGTTCAAATCTCTGTGGAGTCAATTACGTTTTCCGTAAAAATATATTTATTAAGTAAACCATGGGTACAGCATTCCCATCAGAAAAATAGGTAGCAAAAAACTGGGCCAGTAGGTCAACATAAAAAGCTCACCCTACTGTGACCCGACTGCCTGACCAATTAAAGTCCAACTGCCCTTAGGCTAGCAGTGGTCAGCAGTAGCCTATATGGAAATAAAAATCATCTACTGTATTCAAGAGAAAAGCAAATAATGAATCAAAATATATATTAAATCAGATATTAACAGAATCAAACAATTTCAGTTGCATGTTATTAAAATCCACAAATAATTATTAATAATATATTTTAGATTGTTCTTCTACTTACTGTACTATTTGAGTTTAGGCAGTCATCGAGAAATCGATCAATAATATGTTTCTGTTTTGACTCCGCATCTCTGGCATAAACAGGCCTCAGTGGTTTGCTGTAAAACCAGAAGATAAATGATAAAATAAATTAAACATCATGATTTAAGTATTAGTAGTAGAGTTGCTTAAAGATGTATTGTCCCATTAAAAATACCAAAAAATGTCATAAAAATCATTTTTGAAATTAACTTTAAAGTAAGATGATAAAAATTATCAACTTGAATATGAAAATTACTAAATTTTAAAAATGCTTACCTATAATTTTAAAACAAAAAATGATGAAACTTTTAGCTAGTTACTGGAAGTTTTTCTTTTTTATTCCAGTATAAAAATAAGGATACATAATTTTTTAATTCAATAATTTTTATGCTCAAATTAATAATGTGTATGTTACTGCAACATGAGCAAGTTAATTTTATAATTTTAATCATTTTTAGGCGACAAAACATCTTTAAATATTATTTACAACTTTGAAATGCACAGGTTTAAGTTTTTCTCTTTTTAGGATACAATGGTTTAAGATAAAAGATTATGAGTTATTAAAATAATTGAATACTGTAACACGAAACATATTTAAGAGGATTAAGTTTGAAGACTCTAGAATACTATTATATAAAATTTTCTATTTTCTGTAATAACACTTTTAAAAATGTTTACATTTTAACCAGTAATCTATTGGAACCCTACAATGTATGCAATACCAAAACTGCAATCCAAAATGCTTTTTTCTCTCGACCCTCGGTAGAATGGTTTTGAAGGATTGAACCTGGTCACTTGACATTGACTACTATGAGCATTCGTGCCATGCTACAATGTACTAAAAATAATACTTCTAAAAAAGTAATTGATTTATTGGCATGCCTGCTTTTGTTACAGTATTTTAAAGAATTCAACTATATTTTACATTTTTCGATTAAATAAATTTGGATGATCATACTTTATGAATACAGTTTAGAATTTAGATTTACTTCTGTTCTGTTAAAAAGTTGTAATAGGCCAGCTTTTTTCTTCACAGCCTACTTGAGATTCCAGGCACCAAGGGTCACTCGGCCCAGTCCTACTAGGGACCAACATACCAAAACTTCTGAAGTTCTGATCATGAAAATAGGCATTTTTCGTTTTGACTACGCGGCTAGACTACTACGAACTAATAGAGCGTAACAGACATCTGCGCAAGCTCACAAACCTTACTGGCTAAATCGGCATTGTGACAGCTTCCGTGACAACCCCAATTTCTGAATTTGTCGTAGTGGCACTACCCTAATATTGACCAATCAGATCACCGGATTGTTTGGCAAACTGCTGGTAACTTTTTTGTTGGGGGTTGCAATTTTCATCGCATCCGCGATCGAGCATTGTTCGTTTAATAATGAATTAATCATTAAAACAAGTGAGTAATTAAATGTTTTATGAAGGCCTATTTATAGTATACACATGCAATAAATGAGGAATGAATAGTCACAACATAAATTTAGGTAAATCAGGGGATCTAGTGAAAAAAGGGCCTTAGGCTTAGGCCTTGTCAGGGTGGATTTCGGGTAAGAGAAAACACATTATCTGGTGCCGCTAGCTAGGGCATCCGCCCTTGATATCGTCGATCAAGCCTTGCTATATAAATACCTCTGTTTAAAATTGTTATATTTGTACATTGTCGTTGCATTTGGAAAATTGTCTGAGCAGGCCTGACATCCCTCTTCTCCCGGTTAACGACTCTTTTGTCGTTTGACACCTAGGCTAGGCTAGGTAGATCCTAGCCAACAGCGAAACATCACTCGGTGTTTTCTGGAAACTTTTTATTTTGTATATGTATTTGACTAAAGTTTTTTTTCACATTTCCTTTTTCAAATATAAAACAAGGGAACATTGTTCTCTGGTAATAAAACCATGGTCAACTAAATCCCCTCCGTAGGCCTACGTACGTGTGCTGTGTCGTCGTAGTCGCCTTAAAAAAATGAAAGCAGCTCTTTGTGTAGTACGCGAACAGTGTCTTGGCGTTGCCTTTACGGTCCATTAGTTCGTAGTAGACTGGCCGCGTAGTCAAAACGAAAAATGCCTAATTACTAATGTTATGGGACAGACATACAATAACTTAACATCATTATCTGTTCTATTAGTGACAAAATCTTGTATAAACTCTGGGGCGGATGCAGGATTTCGCGGTAGGGCATGTTTGGGGCTGAGGTGTGAAAATTTTGAGAACATGGACCGCTACAGTAGTAGGTGCCCGGAAATTGCACTCTCATACATTAAAAATCTTAAATCAAATCAAATCAACATCAAATCAAAAATAGCTGTAATTCATATCAACAGTATTTAATAATATCAACAATAATAATACGATTACTTTTTTTAATACAATTTAGGGTTTAATTTTTTTTTTTTTAAATCTTGGGCGACTTCGTGGCCCCCAAGAATGCCCTGTGGCCCAAAAATTCGGCAGTGGCCCGTAGTTTGCATGCCGATTAGCATTATACTTTATCAACAACTCATGAAATGCCCTACTGTATATGATTTAAAATTTTGATTGAACATTGTCTTTAATTTCCTTCCTTGAATATTTTTTTTTATATTTATAGAATTATTTTGCATGTTACAATGCCACATGTAGCATAAAGGTCCATGTTGAAAAGTCTCAAAATGCCTTGCTAAAATTACACGGCTTTTAATCCACTAGTTGCAGTTGGGTGGAGCTGGACCAGTGAATATATTCATTGTTGTTGCATGTACAAATATCTGTTGTTTGTAATCCTAATACAAGGCGAGACCGATGAATGTAAATTTACCTTTCATCATGAGCGCAAATATGGTCACAAAGAATACTGTCTTAACTACATACCCATATCCTTATAGGAGGTCTTCATATTGCAAAGTTCACTTAGTACACATACATAAAATCTCAGGATAATGGTATGTGATAAAACTCAATGAAAAAGAGAACTGAAAATAGAAGCCTTTACTGTATACCTTTCATTGGTTACTATATTATTAAACAAAGTCAAATAAAGAAAAGGAATTATATGGTGCAATAAAATTTGAGTGTTTGATTGTCACACCAATGCATTCAGCATAGCTCAGAATGGTATATAATAAAGTACACTTCAACATGTCAGCAAATAACAGCATAATGCATGTCTCAAAAGCAAATCCCTCAAGAAATTGTTTATAAACCACAATACAAACATCATAATGCCAAGAGGGAGTCTCTGAAACAAGTGGACAGACTATGAAAAAATGACTGCAATTCATTTTTTTAAGAAAAGCATTTGTGAAGACAAAAGATAAAAACAAGCAGAGGATTGTGAATTTGGTGGCATAAATATCTAAAATTGTTAAAGCACCCAGCATAGAGTACTACAGTGTTACATCACAATACCACGTGATACTACTACGTTGCTATCGGCGACACAAAATGCATTCAACCGGACGTTATCTCCACTGACAAACCATTGATCCCAATTTCTAACTTTTATTTAAATGCATTTAAATTATTAAGATGTATCTTAGTTTTTATTTGTAAATTTTAATTGATGATTAAATGTGTGTTCGGTAACTAATGTTAAATGCAAGCTTTTGTATTTTTAGTATATTTTGATGGTAAATTATTAGGTTTCAAAATGAATCTTCCAAAATGCTTATTCTAAACCATAAGATTATGAAGTCAATGAACGGTAACCAACGTCTGGTTGACAACAAAGGGCGCCACCTGGTGTTGTGACAACACGACTGTTCTACTCTATAAACCAAGATAAGTCAACATTTATAAAATAATGCATTGTATGATAATAAAGTATCTGTCAGATATTTACATATGATTAATATTCATCAGATGAGTGACTTTCCAAATATTGTCTCAATTTGACCAATCAAACTACAAGATTGTTGTGCAATATAATAAGATCAAGTGATTTTCTCAAATATTGGCAATCAATTAACCAATCAAATGGCTTGATTTAGTACAAGGTTTGCATAATTTTGTTTACATTAATGGGTGTAGCACACACAGTGCATTACTGATGATGATGATGATTCTCATAAAAGTGCATAAACTGCTGTACAGTAGTTTAAGTAAAGTAAAACAAAATTGAATTTAAATTTTGATAGTTTCAAAAGTTGCATAAATGGGCTTTCCTGATTTCTGAGGGGTTTTTTGGTGACCTTTGGGTTTTCGAAGCTAAAAGGGTTTTCCCTCTCTTGAGGGGGGTTATGGTTTTGTATCATACTTATAGGCCTATACATAGATGAAAAAAAATCAACGACATAGGAGGTACATTTTTATATTCCAACAATATTGAGTAGTCGAATAGTAGTCGATGGGCCGATAGTCCTGAGGAGTGCGGTCCGTACATAAATTATTGCGGGGTCGAGCAAAAATTGGTGAGTATAAAGTTATTTTGGGGAGTAGCGTTTGCTGGGCCTGGTTTGTCTGATCAGCCAAGCTGTGCCTGGGCAGGTTGGCATACATTTTGTAAGCTACCCTGTAGGACCCAGTAGTATTTTGTTAGATTTCTACACAGAGGAGGGTTCGTCCGAACCCCCTGAAACCCAGCTGGATCCGCCTATACCATCCTAGCTAGTCTAGGCCTAGAGTAGGATAAGGCTAGCGTGACATGCAGACGTTGGTACGTGTTGGTTTAATAGTCTACAAACGTCGCCTAAAGTAATTGATTTTACCCGGCAGAAGGAAACTCCGCATTTTCAGTCGTCTTGGCCCTTGTTTTTTGACAAACAATGACCTTTTAGAGGTCAAAATGCTGTCAAGAGTATGAATTGGCTGCTTCGCAGCAATAAGCTTGTGGATGAGGCATGTCATTGAGAAGTCAAAAATATCACAACTACTGTAAATAGATAACCTACTTGACATTTAACATTAGACACATTGTGGTTTGTTTACAGAGCAGTGACAAATAACAAGGGCAATTCCATAATGTCTGATGTACATTTCAGACACTTTCAACATAAACTTGTAGGTGAATCATTTTGTTTTGCTGTTAAGCATATATATATATATACCAGTTACTAATTCATTAAAAAAATAAAGAAATTTTTTTGATTGCTATGGTTACAGAGAACCGGTACAAAATGGCCTAGTGTCGGACGTAATCAGTGAAAATGGTTTTTTAAGTACTAGTTTGTGTTTTTCAAAATGTCTGTGATTTGTTAAGATTTATGAAAGTGATGTTTTCTGATTATTATTCATTATTAATTAGTTGATGTGGAGGGCCAAAAAAACTTTTTGTAATTTTACATTTTCTTAAGAAAATATGGATGATTGAAGACGTTTCGGACGTACAATAAATTGTGTCGGACGTACATGTCCAAATTTTGTCCGCGTACATATAATTGACACAAAAATATACAACTAAATTAGTAATAAATAAATTGCTACTCAGAATACTCAGTTAGCTTTATGAAATTAATGTTATAAAGCCAACAGAATACTCAGTTTGCTTTATAACATTAATTTCATAATTCTAATGAATATGCTTTTGTGTGGACATTTAAAAATGTATTTACTTTGTGTCGGATGTACCAAGTATTTAAAATTTAAAAAAAAAGCAATTGAAAAAATATTTTTAATTGTTAAATTTTTTTTTTAATTATATAATTTTAAAAACTGATTCTAATATATAATGTAGATAAAAAAAAAATCAAGAAGTGCTATTTAAATGAGGGAAATTTCCTGTTTGACCTTTTATTACTATTTATTCCAAAAAAATTAAAATTCTTATATTAATGCATTCAAATTTGATTATATTTTAAATCGGAAATATATTACATAATTATATATATTTTTTATGATACTACACTTCATAACGTTATAAAAAATAATATTAATGAACATATTTGACGTGTTTCAAATTTTGACAAAATTGTTACTACAGTATTTTTAATATGGAATTGCCCATAACTAAACCAATTTACTATCACATGCAATAGAATATTGTTCCGATTGCATTTTGTGTCAGGAGAAATAATACAAAATGATGTTTGCCCAAACATCATTTTGTATTATTTTTCCTGATATGACGCAAAACGCCATCGGAATAGCATTGCAGTACCCCTGCTACTTGGGATCACATTCATCACCAGCCACCAAGTACAAGCTCGGTGGTCTAGTGGATAAGACATCAGGCTAGTTAACTGGAGGTCATGGGTTCGCTTCCCACCCGAATCACTTGAGAGATTTTTTTCTTTCTGCAAGTATTTGGGAATGTACAAGCATTGAGTACAACTTGTCAGGCGGGGCAAACATCATTTTGTAATTATATTGTTTATATTTACATGAAAAATACCAACAAAGCACTCAAAAAAAATAAAGATGACTTACTATGGTGGTACAGCTTTTTCCCAAGACCTGTCACCATCTAGAATATCTTCAGTGTCAGGGCTTTGTGTCTGAAGGTGTTGGAGAGGTCGTGTCAAAGGTGAGCCAAGTATTTTCTCTGCTCTGGCAATCACTCTCTGTTCATACTCGGCAGATGAACCTTATAAAGATTGAAGAGAATCAATTATTGTTAAACTTTATTTGATACACTGAGAAAATTTATATTATATAAAAACAGACTTATATTGTATCAAGCAAAAGACTAAATTTTACTCTGATCATTGAAGTAAACGCCTATAGAACATAATCAGTTTTTTGGGGAGTATTAGTTGGAGTGGTGTGGCACAGTGGTTCTACTTCTTAACCTTGAGGTCGGAGGTTGCATCCTTTGCTGCGCATCTCGCTTGTATCCTTGGGCAAGGAACTTTACCTACTGTTGTTTCGCTCCACCCAAGAAAACAATTGGGTACATGGTAGCTTCAAACACAAAATGCATTGATCTGCAAGCAGCAACATTATGGAATTCTCCCCAGGGGGCTGAGATGTGTTCTATATGTGCTTGAAAAATTATCGGGGGTAATAATGTTAAAGTGCTTTGAACATGAAACACTATAAATCTAACATATGTGACCGGCTCTCGCAAAACCAGCTGTTCGTATGAAAAATTCAAAATTGAGTTTTTGGTATTTTTAGATTATGCATGTATTCTTATTTGATGGTAATTGGTTGAGTTATAGCGAAGTTATGAATATCAATTCATTGGACATCAATCATGCAAGTTTTGAGAATAAAATAATTTTAATATCATTTAAATCCAACATTTCGTTATGAAGTTACAGAGTTTAAACATACAGCTGATTAAAGAACAATATTTAAGAAATCAGCCTTTAAAGTTTACGATTTTGGGCATTTCTTAGGCAGAACCATCACCAAAGCATTAAAAATTGTTGTTTTGACATTTAAAATGGGGAAAATAACAGCATAGTGTGATGTATAAATATATAAAGTTTAGTTTAGTGCAATGAAATAGATTTTCAAAATTTTGACATTCCAGCATGTTTTGGTCAATATCTCCGAAACAGAATTTGTGACGATTGACTGGTTTGTCTTGTCTTTGCCAGATATACTTTTCAGTTAGATTTTTTTGCAGAAATGTTCTTCAATATATATATCTTCTTTTATAAAATGCAAAAACATGAAAATGTTAAAAATTCTGATTCTCAAAACATTTTGGACGCTTGCAGGAAATTAGAAATTGCGACAAATGAAAGGTTTTGCCAGAGCCTGGCACATATTATATATAATTGTTATTATTATTAATATTATTATTCCACTATGCAGTATATTAATTAGTGAACTGGCTTTCAAACCTACTGGGTATCCACTTATAAGCCTATTCCTGGGTGAAGACATGTAAAAGGTCCCATGTATTAATAAATTAAAGAATTTTTGTAATAAAAAGTTTTTCGTCGCTTATACCACAAAATAACACAATTAATGATTATGTTAGATGTTAGTTTGTGCAAACAAAAATGTGTTAAAGTATGTACTGTTGCTGTTACAAACTTCTTGCTTAACAAAGTGTGCCATTTCAACATGCTCACTTTTTTCTTTTCATAAACTAACACTAACTGTTTTGTGGTCTGAGTGAAGATTTAATCATTTTAATGAACATTTTGTTCATTGGATTTTTTAGTTTTTCCAAATTTGACTAATAACTGAATGTGTAACCCTAATAGCAAAAACATGGTGACTTATATTGGATAACAATAACTACAATAAATAAGGGTATGCAGAAAAAGATAAATTTTATATATATATATATTTTATTATTGCACAATATATAAAATATATATATAAATTTTATAAATTTGGAAATAATAAAGACATTTTAGTACCATACCTCTTGAGTTCGTAAACCTGCCGGTAGGTGGACTGTAGTATTTGGAATGACTCTGAGAAGGGATCACATCCTCATCTACCATCCAACGGCTTTTAAGAGAGTTGTCTTGTATGTGAGGTTGTTTTCGATCTTGTTCAAATCTGCGAGAGGAATATTTACTTGGGGTTGAATAAAGGTCTGAGATGTTAAGCCTACTCCTTTCCTGACTATCGCTCATTGGTTTGTGCTTCTGATGTCTTTGCCATTGCTGTTTTAATAATGGTGAGGTACTTCTTTGGCTATTCTGTGATCGTGCCCTGTTACTTCTTGGAGAACCTCTACCAGTGCTTTTTGAAGATGACCACTCCATCTGCTTCAGAGTTCTTCTAAGTTCTTCCATGCTCCTTGATGCTGGTAAACCTCTGCCACTTGAAGGTGCCAAAATGAGGTCATCTGTAGTCATACTGAGCATGTCTGTGCTGAGTTTTTTCTTTGCAACTGGAGATGATGCTGCAAATGTTCTTATACCTCTAGAATCTCTCTTAGACTTTGCATTTCTTACAAGTCTGTTTATCTCTGCACTGCTCCTAATGTGAGTTCTACCATTACCATTAGAGTCTGAATTATTTTCCTTGTTAAAGCTTGTGCTGCTTGAGTCAAGATCTTGGTGAGTCAAACCAAGTGGTAGAAATCTATCACCTTTAGTGAAATTAGGCTCAGGTGTACTCCTCCCTCTTTTGGAGAGGACATTTTGACTGTCAAATGATACAGGTCTGACAGTGGGTATAACAGAGTTTATCGCAGAATCATCAAGATCATTAATCCAGCTAGGTGGAGGTCTGCCAATATGCGACCTACCTTCACCAGTATTCTGGATCTCTGACAAACTAATATCTTGGATCCAGCTGGGTATACTTCTGTGTCCTGAAACTTCTGATGCACTATACATTCTAGCATCATCACTTAACATCTTAGAAGTGAATCCGGTCTTCTGAACATGGCTGCTTGAATGCGGAACCTTGGTGGAAATCTCTGACCTATCTAAATCTTCAATCCAGCTTGGTGTCATTCTACCTCCAGATAAAATTGATTCATCTGTAAATCTAAGTTTAGTGGAATTTTTACCAAATGATGTCTTCTGGTTGGCAAGCGAGTCCACTGATCTTGCTTTATATCCAGCTGATTGTGGTGATTTTTTATTTCTTCCTGTACTTGTATGTTTAAAGAGCCTGTCTTGAACATTTCTTAACCCCAACTCAGGTTCGGATTTAGCATGGCCTGTAAAGCTTACTTCCCTGTAACCCCGCCTTTTTTCTGGACTTGGATGCTTCTTCAAAATCCCAGAATTCCTCCATGATCCAGCATCGCCTTGTAATGACCTTAATTGAATAGCATTTGCCTTGTAGCTCTCCTGTAGAGGAGACAAAGGTGTTGAGTTCCAGGCAACACTGGGTTGAGAATCTGTCTCACTCTTAAAGCCCAGCTTGTGGTTGAGTTCACTCTGTGATGCCTGGAATAGAAGGGTGTCTGTAGATAAGCTGGTTAGACTTTGCTGTGGTTGAAGTGTTTTTTCTGGTGTCAGACCTGATATATCAGATGATGAGATTCTGTGAAGTTCTTTTGATGACTCTATCAGCTGTTTTGCTGCAAAAATAAAATAAATATTAATAAGATATATTACTTATTAAAATGTTTTAAAAAAAACAAAGAGTAGTTGTGGAAAAAGAGATAAAAAAATTAAATCATTACAACAAGGACAACTACAGCAGCAACATTTTTTTCCTCACTAATACAGTAGGCATGAAAAAGGCATACATAATTTTAAGTACCCACTAATTTTTGTAACATTTAAATTTTCTTGTTATTCTGGCACTATATGAATAGACAGATTTTTAAAAATTTGAATTATTTCTTTATTGAAGTTTTTCTTTCATTTAATAAGCACATAAGAAACAGTGATATTAATCACTGTTTCATTTTGCCACATGATGCTATGTGTTATTTTCTTCATGAGAAAAAAAAATGTACTTATTCGGATATAAAGTATCACCTTTATCTTGCTCCAAATCTGCTCTTTGGATCTCATTATATGATTCATCAATAAGTTTCTTGATCCTGTGTCTCTGAGTCTCTGCACTAGTGTCACGCACACCGGTAGCGAGACTACGTTCCACAGTCTGAAGCAGTACTGATTTGGGAGATAGAAGATCTTCGACAGTGCGCCTGTATGGAGAATTCAACTGTTTGTGTTCGAAGTCGTTGATGTAGGCTTGAAGGGCATCAGTTGCAGAAGGGTATTGTTTATTTGCATATGTGAGTATCGATGTCCGTCCGGAGATACTTTGGGTGCTGTGTAAAGATTCTCTTAGTGTTGAGCTGAAGATATTTTCTAGTGTTGTATCCTCACTTCGCCTCATAATGCTCTAACATACTTACTAGGAAGATAACAAGTTTAAAGAAAATTGTTTGGTAACATATTCTCAAAAAAAAAAAAAATGGAATATACATGATGCCACATTTTGTTGTCGGATATTTCATGGGAAAATTCCAATTCACATTTAATAAGACTGCCCTTTAATTGAAAGAATTTTAATTTAAGAATTGACATTCTGGTATTTTACTGATTATTGCAAAATAGTAGGCCTAGGCCTACAGCTCGTCGTGCTTGCAAGCGCGAAAATGCTGTATGTATCAACCTGTATTTATAAAAAAGGTATCTTTTTTGTTAAAAAAAGTACATTTTGTGAGTGGTTGAATCATGTAAAAAAGTTTTATAATTAGGCCTATGTGATGTCTTGTGACTGTGTGAGGAGAACACTGAGGTAAAAAAAATTAAGAATTAGGCTATTAAAAATTAAAAGAAAGAAAAAAAAGTGTGAAAGATGCATTGCGCCGTATAGTGGTTTAGCTCAAGACCAGGTAGGCCTCTATCTACTCTAGATAGTAGCCTTTACTTAGCTTAAGCCTTGGCTACAGGTATGTTAGAAGAGTGACGTCTCGCACTGTTATCGTTGTCGCGATGCCGATGCTGATTGTTTTGGTTCTCCATCTTGCATCCAGATTAGAAAAAATCATATTAAATCGTTTATTGGTTGCATTCACTAACCTTTCAACTTATTTACAAAGTAAACCGGTCAAAGTTTACTTACGCTTTTTAAAAATATTTTTTTCATTGATCGGTCACATAGTTAGAGTAGTTTTTCTTTGAAATAAAGCATCATTTACACCTATTTTGTAAGCACTGTAAATTATAAAAACCATCCTGTAATTTTAAATATTATATATTTAATATCTATGCCAAGTATGAATTAGATCTGATGCGTACCAATAATTTTTTTTTATTTTCTCAAATCTTATGACTCTCGAGTCCGAAGCATAAAAATGTCCGCTGATCGAAGGATGTGTACATTGGAGGATGATTCAAACGGCGTATTTTGCATATAAAGTCCGTATTACTGATGAATATGTCCAATATAATCATTGCTTAGTATTATATAATAAAATATTTTTAAAGATTTTGATTTATTATAATGATGTTTTGCGATTAATATACCCGTGTATAATTGAGAATTATCGTCACGAAATTGCATATGGCATCTTATTAGGCAATTCTGGCCTGTAATTGGTCTGTATAGATCACGTGACATTGAATTTGAAATTTGATTGGATGATATGTGTTGTTGACAGGAATATAGAGCACAAACATCCTGGTGTTGCATAGGCCTACATTAATAGTTTTTAAACAATTAAAAATAATACCCCGGTAGTAATAATAAATTAGTCAAATAATGCATGTATAGAGTTTATTAATTTAGTACAAATTATTAGATCAAAGCAATAAACAGTACCTAATTATTTTTTTTTTCAAAGTATACACAATGAGAATTAATTGACAAATTAGTAAAAAGGTCACAAACTTTGTATAATGCCTGTAGCCAAATTTTTGCCATAATTAAATATTTTAAAAAATCAATAAAAATCAACCATACAACCAAATTTAATTTTGTAAACGTTTTTAATGTTTTAACACTTGGTAGATTTTGTGATATCATTATCAGTATTGTGGACATCCAATCAAATTTAATTTTTCTTTTTAACATGCCTACCTTGGCTAGACCAGGTTAGGTTTTGGCCTGGCTTACCTACTAGCTACGGTAGAAAGGCCTAGCCTAGCTAGGCCTACCTTTCTCAGCGGGCCTGTCTTCTCACTCGGCTAAGCTAGGCCAGCTTAACTAGGCCTAGGCCTAGCCAGCATAACTACCTAGGCCTAGGCCACTACGGCCTAGCCCAAGCGAGAAATCCTTTTAAAATGATTAGATAGACATGAGGCCTAAATCGTCAGCCTAAATCCTGATATTTACTGGCCTGATTTTAATATCAATTATACATACCAATACTTTTTAAGTCCAAACTAGTACGGACTACATTTCAATTCAAACACAAAAATTATCAAAACAAATTCTTAGTATTACAATCCAGACACTACATGCTAGTACACCAATTATGAAGTATACACAGACCTCTTTGAAACGACTTAGAGAAGGTTAAACAAAAGTTGATTATTGGTGGCGCTAATTTTTAAAATAATAAACAATCCACAGCTTAATAAATAAGCCGTTGAAATGTCTTCACTCCTTAAGAATTATTTATTACTTATTATTAAGAATGGACGGTAATCTTGATTACTGGTCAGAATCAGCATGATAAGTTCACGGAGATGTGATATATATATATATACACGTAGGCCTATATCTTGATATATATAAGGGGAGGCGGTCGAGACATCTGTGAAAGGTTTTTTTAAATCTGCGCTAACCATAACACAGTGAGTGGTTAGCAATCGGTCCGCAAAGTTCAAACCACCAATCAAAACTATTCCATGACTGAAGCCTTAATTTGCATACATCACACTATATAAGAGTTTGAGATGGGAACGCATATGGCTTTAGTTGATAGGAGAGCATTAGTGAACGCGGAGGAATAAGG